CGGCACCGCATGTCCCGATTTTCCCGGACATGTCCGGCTTTTTGGGATTTCCCCCCGGACGGGGATTTGGAGCCCAAAAAGCCGGACATGTCCAGGAAAATCCGGACGTATGGTAACCCTAGACATAGAGTCTTCGGCTTCCAAACGACCCTGCCTGGTGTCCATATGCATCAATGACCTCTTAACAGAGGAGTGTGCAAACTAGAGTGAGGTCATTGAAACATCATTTGTTTGGCAGCTTCATTTACGCTGCTAACAGTGTAGCGTCCTGAGATGGATATTCTGCCCAAGTGACCTGTGGGTTGGATTCATTTTAGTGAGAGGCGGGATATGTGGAGGATCATTTAAACTCTTATTTCCTTAGGATTCGCCTTCAATATACTTCTGTGCTGGTGAGATCTCTGACCATTACAGTCCATATCTCAGCAGACAGGCATAGGCAGCAATGCACTCGCCCAGTTGCCTTGACTGAGAAGGTTTCTAATCAAAGGGAGTGAAGATTCCAGGAAGCTCCTGGGATAATCTCTCACCGGAGAAGAAAGGGCTTGTTCAGAAAGAGAGTTTGAAGTCTGTAGGGTAAAGACGAGCCAGATGGGTTTGCCTCCATGCAGGCAGGGGTAGGCACCACCATGTTGTGCAACAGACACTTGACAAAATTACTGGACTTAAGTGATGGACATGGTCGAGGGGTTATGTCATTCGGTCATCATTCAACCCATAAAATAACACACCATTTTCCACACTGAACCCCCCCCATAACCTATCTATCTAGCTAATAATAATAATAATACATTCAACTCACTTCAGTGTTTTTGAATGTACCTCACCACCGCAGTCAATATTTTTTTGTGGGATGGGACATTGAAATAAATATTTATCCTAAAACAATATATCCGGTGCATTGTTTTCACTACTTTTTTATTGTTCAAATAATGTCTTCTTGTGATTTTCTTTAAATAAGAAACCCATTGGACATGAATTTTCATGTTCATAGCAAGTGTTATTTTTAAATTATGCTTTTAAAAAACCCACAGAAACTCAGTTCGGATCCATTCAGTGAAAGACCTGGTCCTGCATCCATTGGAGTTAAGGGCACAACTCACTGAATTCAGTGGCCCTAAATCACTGCCCAGTGGTACTGTGTCAGCTCAAACATTGTCACATCTGTACTGTTTATCAAGTGACTGTTGAGTTTAGAGGGGGAAATAAATCCATAACGAACTTGGATTACACACTTAGAATTTTATTTTTGGAGTCATGTACAGACTACTGTAGTGCAATGCTATTGTGTTATACTAAATTGTACACAATACTAGCCTGTTGTAATTTAATTTGCCTAATCTGCAATTCCATCTGTATTAAAGAGTTGAAGTTTTAGACTAAAATGTAGTTTTCAGGCAGAAAGAAACTGCAGTAAAAGTACTTGGATGGTGAGTTCTTCCAATGATTAACAGCAAGACTTGCTTGGAACTTGGTCTTTGATTTCTTCTGTTTAATTGTAGCCCTAGGTGAAACAGGGTTTTGATTTACAGAAAATGTAGAATTGGCTACAGAAAGTTTTAAATTTCAGTAACAATAAAATCTCCCGCAATAATCATTTCATAGTATTTCAGTTCAGAAGTGCTAAGGGTTGATTTGTGTGTGGGGGGAAAAACTATAGCAGCCTAGTTACACATTTAAAAGGGAGAAAAAATTTGAATACATTTCCTGCTTTTGACTAGGATAAAAAGTTGATTTTCTTCTTGTAATGAATATAGCAAATACACACACACACACACACACACACACGAATAATGTGCAGACT